TGGTGGGTCGATGATCTCGCGTCGACCCGAGACTTTGAAGATTGACAGCTCCAAGTATAGGGGAGTCGAAGAGGACTCCCTCTTGAGATGGTTTGTTGAGTAGGACGACGCCATAAGGGCGCGTCGCATCGACGATGGGGATACGCAAGTTGCATTTGCCCAATCAAATCTGGCAGGACGTGCCAAGACTTGGGCACTGGGGCTCAAGTTGCACGACCCATATGCGTTTGGGTTATTGGGAGTCTTCAAGTCGCGGCTCAGACAAACGTTTGAGCCGCCTAGAGCTGAGTTCAGGGCTCGAACCGAACTCTTGAAGCTCAAACAGGGTAAGCGTGATGTGCACGCTTACGCGTAACATATACGACATCTCACGAGTTGTATAAGTTCCAATCCGGTTTACGAACACACGTTGGTTTCTGTGTTCATGCAGGGTCTTGCAGATGGTCCCGCCAAGACTCACCTGTTCCGGCTTGAACTAGATTCACTAGAACAAGCCATTTCCATTGCGGAGCAGGAAGACTTCAGTCTGAGACAGGCTCGCGCCAGCTCGACATCATATCGTCAACCGAGACGATATGACAACGGAGGTCCAGAGCCGATGGAACTCTGTTATGTAGAGAGCGAGAAGGCTCGCTCTACAGACTACAAGAAGTTGCAGAAATGCAACAGATGTCAAAAGACAGGACACTATGCTTACGAGTGTAGTGCCCCTCGTCCAGTGTCTCGCAACACTGGGCGTAGTGACCGTCCACCCATGAGAAAGGGGCAGGGAAGAGGGTCCGCTGTTTGTTCTAAGACGCAACAACGGGATGGACCGTAAAAAAAACGGACAGGATCAGTAGGTGCGGAGCACCCTACTGGTCCATCAACGTCAAGAGAATTTGCAGACCTTTTGATGAAGGTTGCTCCCAACACACAAACGTTGTGCGTTGCTGCTCTAGGTAATGAGATCTCACTCATTACCTTGAAACTCGAAGTGACAAATAAGTTGTCCCTTCGAGCTCTAGTCGATTGTGGGGCGTCCAACAATTTTGTGCGACGCCAATCGCTAGAAGATGGTCACTTTAAGTTTAGTGAATGTGACACACCTCCTACGAGGATGACGGTACGTCTTGCGACAGGCGCATCCGTAACCGTCATGAAGCGAATAGTGAAGATCCGCTATACGCTAGAAATTATCCAATATGACGATGACTTTATCGTATTGGACTTGGATGACAAATTTGGTGTCATCCTTGGAATACCGTGGCTCAGAAGGTACATACCACGGGTAAACCGGCAACATCGAACAGTAACGATGCCTGCCGCTTGTTCATCAGATGGCCATCTGATGAACGTTTTGGAGCGTCCACAAGCGTGTGGATGTACTACGAGTGAGTGCGATGGCCTCACTTGTGGTACGGTCGCTAGTACGACTGCACAAAACCTTAGTGTAGCAAACGGTTACACTTCGGAGCAAGATTCCGGCGGCTGTGAGGAAACACAGGCTGCGCCGAAGGTCCACCACTCGAATAAGTCGAGTGGACCGGGACAAAGATGTATCCCTAGCGGGGAACATCTAGAAGAGAAACAATCGATCGCCCAGGTTAAACGAAACGATAATCCTAGATCGACTGTAGAGTCTTTCGTAGAGGATCTCGCTGTGGTTGCGCAGCCACAGCTAGAGGAAGTTAAGGGAATAAGTCCCGATTTTACAAATACGGCGGAAATAAGTCCCCGGGAAGCTGAAGGAATAAGCCCTTCGAGGCCTGAGGGAATTAGTCCCCAGGAAATGACGGAGACATTGAATGTCACAGTCAATAACGGATCAAGTGTAGGCGCTTATACACTTGATCTGATTGCGCCTCCGAAGTTGACTTCGGAGATCACTCAGTTGCCAACGCTCGAACATAAAAGGTTCTTGCGTGATTTGCGTAGTGGCAAAGTCAAGCAGATCTGCGTACTCGTCGCTGACGACGAGTGTGTAGCCGACATAAGGTCAGCAACAGTGTTTACTCAGAACAAGAGAGTTCTCAGTAGTTCATCTACGGACGAGATTGTCCTCGATGAAAAGACACGAGTTGAGCGATATGTTTCCCAATCGTGGGAATCGCTCAAGACAAATCCTCTCTATGAAGATTTGGTTGAGTTCAAGGATGTATTCCCTGAAACTGTTCCGTGCGAGTTACCGAAGGATAAAGGTATTCGACACGATGTCTAGCTTAAACCAGGCTCGAAGTACTGTGTCATGAAGCAGTGGCCACTGCCTCGTGAACAAGTACTTGCGATCGACAAGTTCTTTGCCGATCGTTGAGCTGCGGGCCATGTGATGGAATCAACTTCCCCCCATAGCTCTCCGACCTTCTGTGTGCGAAAAGAAACAGGAGGGTGGCGGATTGTGCATGCATTTAACAAGTTGACTGCTGCAACGGTACCGGTTCAGACGCCGATACCAAGGAAGGACGCAATCATTGATGGTATGTCAAAGAGTACCATCTTCTCGTCCATGGATTTGATGGATGGCTTCTATCTCATCCTTATGCGAGAACGGGACATACCCTTTACCGCAATGAGCACGCTTAGCGGCATGCTCTGGGAATGGATAGTAATGCCACAAGGGCTAGTAATGCCCCTGCCACGTTCAACAGATGTGTATCACATCTGGTGAGACCAGTACGAGAATTTGCGCCGAGTTATTTTGATGACCTATTCATCCATAGTCGGGCTATGGATGGAAAGTCGGACGTTGAGGTTCACAGGTACCACGTCCGACAGGTTCTTACAATCATGCGAAAGCACCAATTGTATGTCAACCTCAAGAAGTGTATATTTGCAGCAAGTGAAATACCACTTCTTGGGTGCATCGTTGGTAAGAACGGAGTACGTCCTGATCCCGAAAAGATCAAGGCGATCACCGACTGGCCTGTGCCGGTTGATGTCAAAGGTCTTTAAAAATTCCTTGGACTAGCGGCGTATTTGCACAAGTATTCACGCAATTACGCCGAAATGACTGTGCACCTCTCTCGTTTGTTGAAAACGAACGAGAGGTGGGTACGGAACGCGGAATGTCAGCGCTCCTTTGATGGTATCAAGCAGAGCTTGATGCAATCCCCAGTCCTAGCAATTGCCGATCAGGACAGGCCATTTCATGTGGTCGGTGATGTCAGCGATTTCGCAATCGGCTGTGCAATAATGCAGTACGATCTTGAAGGCGTTGAACGCGTCTTCTGCTATCAGTCGCGTCAGCTGCAACCAGCTGAGAGGAACTATCCAGTGCATGACAAGGAACTCCTTGCCATGAAGTATGCACTCGCGAAGTTCAGAGTCTATCTATTAGGAGAGATACCCTTCATTGTTTGCACAGACCATGCGTCATTACGCACGGCAGTGAACAGCCCGCACCTTTCACAACAAATGGCGCGGTGGTTGTCATTCTTTGCAGAATTCAACTTTACGGTAGAGTACAAACCAGGACGACTTAATGTCGTCGCTGATGCACTCTCACGTCATCCCGACTTTGAACCAGTCGTGAAACTCAACAGTGAGACAGCCAATGTTGCGGTTATGACGTCCTCAGTCCCATCTTTAACGTTGAATGATGATGTGAGGCGGGCGTATGCCCAAGATGGTGAGATTTTGAAGTTGTTGACACATCTCTCACAACCATCTCGAGAATCGTTGAAACGATTATCGTAGGCGTATCGATCTTCACTAGATCGATACACTACTCGCGACGGGTTTACTGTATTATACAGCCGTTTCTGGTGACACACCACGTGTTGTCATTCCAGATGATACTGATATGCGTTTGCGGATCATGTTCGAGTATCACGATGCTCCTATAGCAAGACATCGTGGCCGAGAGAAAACATATCTCACGGTGAGTTGAGACTTTTGCTGGCCCCGCCAGTATCAGTTTGTGCGAACGTATGTTCGCGCATGCGACGTCTGTCAACGAGTGAAGTCGAGTCCTTCACTGCGTGCACCTTTACAGCCTCTACCGGATTCCGGCTGAGTGCTGGGAATCCATCTCAATGGATTTCGTCTTCGGGTTACCCAAAGACGCACGCGGGAATACTGGTGTTCTCGTATTTGTTGACAGATTCAGCAAAATGGTACACCTTGTGGCTGTACCAGAGTCAATCACAGCAAGTGGCTGTGCTTGTGTCTTTATCGTCCGACTTCATGGGTTGCCCCGTGAACTCGTATCAGACAGAGATCCACGCTTCACTGCTGATTTCTGGCGTTCCGTGTTTAAATCACTCGGAACGAGCTAGAAGATGTCGACATCTGATCGTCCAGAGTCAGATGGTCAGACGGAACGCGCCAATCGTGTCCTCGAAGAGATGCTTCGAGGATACGTACACTCCTTTAAGAGTTGGAGTGAGTTCTTGCCAATGGTAGAGTTTGCCATTAACAACTCGGTGCATGCGTCCACGACACATACACCGTTTTACGTGAATGGCTTGCGCCATCCGCGTGTTCCCACCTTACTAGAGTGTAACTCTGGTTTAAGGGGGGGGACTCGCGCGAGCAAAAACCGATTTGGTTCACGCTCATCACTCTCTGACGATGAGGTCATTGCGTTTGATGCCGATATCGACAACATCGATATCGAAAAAGATGATGCCAGTGAGAGTGCGGAAGCCCTCACTGAAGAAACGATTGATGTCGCTGCAGTGCACTCACAGCGAACTGAAGCTAACGAGTCATCAGATGAGTTCATACTGGCTCGTGAAACGGTAGTCCGTTTTGTGCAAGACTCCATCGCCGAAGCGGTGGATAAGCAAAAGCAAAACGCTGACAAGAATGGAAGGGCAAACACTCTTTTATTCAATAAATGTGACTTAGTCCTACTGTCTACGGTTAATCTACCAAAGCATGTAGTGACTAACTTGGGTAGTAGTAAACTACTACCCAAGTACATCGGCCCATTTCGTGTATCGCACCGCCTAGGCAATGCATACACGATCGAGTTGCCACGTAAGATGCGAACGCATCCCACGTTTACGTTGGTCGGCTTAAGCCGTACCATCAGTACGCTGTTTCTTCCGATGAAGAACGCCCTTGCGCTCAAGCATCTCGCAGAGAGCCTTGTGCTCCCGATGGTGGGCATCGACAAGGGTCTGAAGAGCAGTTATCTCATCCCGAGACCGGTCCATATCCACACAAGCTACCCTTAGCTCGTCACGAAGAGATGTCAGAGATCTCTCGTTCTCAAGCTGAGCAAAGGCAAACTCAGCTCGATGCTTCGAGGCAGTGTCCGCCATTTGGAGACGCCTATTCCGCTCATGTTCGAGATCGTCGCGTAACCCTTGCGTTACGCGATCAATGCAACTCTCGGGAACACACGGATCCCCACGATAGTTTGGAGAGCGTCTTCCCTCCTCCTCCACCTCCATTAGAGGACTCTCGCGGTGGCCAGCGCTATCTAGCTGAGCAGCTGTTGAACCACCGCGACGTGAACGGACGTCGGACGAGTTATCTCGTCCGGTGGCGCGGCTATCCCCCGTCCTGGGATTCTTGGGAGCCCCGCTCCCAACTGATGATCGACGTACTGGGTCTGGTTGAGCAGTACGACGCGGCACATCCTGTGCCGCAGAAGTTGCTGTTGTTTCTGCTTCGGCGTCCGCACAGAGACGTGCGGACGCGCTCTCGGCGGCCTTGCTCGCGCATCGCATGGGCTTAATAACCATGCGATGGAATGTTGGAAAGTGGACTCGGACCAACAAGTGCAAACCCTGTCCCAAATGATTTGGGACGAGTATCCATTTAGTCAATTAGTCACTAAAGTGACTTATAGTTAAGGGGGGGTGATGTAACGGGGTGAATCGTTACATAACAATTTATAAGAAATTGTTGATAGAATGTAACTAAAAGTGTGATATTCTCAGAATATTGTCATAAGGACAAATATTCTGTAGCACTTACGATAAGTTCCTAATTGGTTGATATAGGTCATTATATCAACCAACGAAGACGCGCCACGACAGACGCACGCAATGAGTGGTGAGCAGATAGTTGATATGCACATTTGTATTTAGACATAGTTAGATGAGGATAAATAGTGATTTACTAACCGACATTAATTGTAACGGGGCACCCTGAAGCTTGTACTGGTGACAGTACAAGCTACTTATTCTGATGACAGAATAAGGCGGTGCCTCGTAACTTCACGTACACTCATACGTGCAGAGGAAGACGGTAAGAAGAAGCGAGTACTTGGTTAAAGTAAAAAGTAGAACTGTATTTATAATAGTTAATGTCTGTAATAAACCCCTTGTTTGTCTTCATCTAACTATGTCTAAATACAAATGTGTAAATCAACTATCTGCTCACCACTTATTGCGTGCGTCTGTCGTGGCGCGTCTTCGTTGGTTGATATAATGACCTATATCAACCAATTAGGAACTACTCATAAGTGCTACAGAATATTTGTCCTTATGACAATATTCTGAGAATATCACTCTTTTAGTTACATTCTATCAACAATTTCTTATAAATTGTTATGTAACGATTCACCCCGTTACATCACCCCCCCTTAACTATAAGTCACTTTAGTGACTAATTGACTAAATGGATACTCGTCCCAAATCATTTGGGACAGGGTTTGCACTTGTTGGTCCGAGTCCACTTTCCAACATTCCATCGCATGGTTATTAAGCCCATGCGATGCGCGAGCAAGGCCGCCGAGAGCGCGTCCGCACGTCTCTGTGCGGACGCCGAAGCAGAAACCGCTGCAACCGATGTGCCATCGGTTGCTATAGTGTCTCAGTCTGTACCACCTGGTGATGCAGGCGCTGGTCATGAAGACACTCATGTTTTCACAGAGTATGAGCTCGGTGTCTCATACACTCCTGATACGGAAGACGGATCTGTATCGACGGCGATTGAATCCAAGCCGCCTGCCAAGCGTGGCATGGATGATGCTATGCGTCATAGCATCTTTGGTTCATCTGATGAATCAGATGAACAATCGCCGAAGCGAAGGCGCTCGAGGTCGCGCGACTCGGGCGCTAACAGTGGTGTCGGTTCTCCTATTGACACCACTTCACAGAGAGGTGCCAGTCCTTCTGTCGGCACGTCGCAGGAAGAGCGGGACCGCAGTGTGTTGCGTCTCGCTCCCGAAAAGAAGGCATGGATGCCTCCAAAATCCGTCATGGATCACTTTTCGTCGCCGACAAGCGATTGCTATCGAACACGATTGCTCAGTTCATCAAGGATCCATCACCTTGACCCCAGCGCGAAAGACTATCACACTGAGAATGAATTCTTCATCGATGCTTTCTTTAGACATCGATGGTACAGGGAGAATCACAAGCGTGATGGTCCCTCACTGCTTCAAGCGTGGAACGCCTACATCCATAACCTTGAGGATGTAGGTCGAGATGTTTGGAACGACAAACTTGTCAGAGCTCGTGATAAGTTTGAAAAGCAAACCCCGACAGGTGCACGCTATGAGCTGCATCGTCTGTCAAGAGAGAAAGGATTACCCTGCCTCTCTTGGGGAGACTCGTGCCCATGTTGTGTGAACAACTCTGCACGAGCACCTAAGGAAACTTACCTCCCTAATAGACAGTGGTGGCGCGTACGTATCTCTAGTGAGATGTCCGAAGGGATTGACAACCTGAAATCCCTTTACGACCGTGTCGGGAAGGCTTTCTCCGGTGGTCCGACATTTTTGCAACTACTTAATGGACAGCCTAAAACGGCTAGGGTCAGTATTTGCGGAGCACTCTACTGATCCAGCAACGTCAAGTGAGGTCTCAGGCCTCTTGAAAAAATTTCTTTCAACACTTAAAGTGTGTGTTGCTGCTTCTGAAATTAAGGTATTGCTTATAACTCGAATATCAGAAGAGGGCCAGAACATGTCGCTTTAAGCCCTAGTCAATTTTGGGGCGTCGAAAAAGTACGAAAGACGCCAATCGCTCAACAACAGAGAGCTCATACATATCGAGCTCGAGATTCCTACAACGCGAATTACAATTTGCCATAAGACAGGTGCATCCATAGCAGTGATGAAACGTGTAGTGGGTATCATCTTTACCCTGGAGAAAACCTGTTCCAAAGATATTTTTATCCTATTTGACTTTAATCTCACACTTGATGCTATCCTTGGACTGCCGTGGCTCAAAAATTTCGAGCCACAAGTCAGCTGACATCGAAAAAAAGTCGATGTGTCTGTCACTTGTGCATCAGATGATCATCTGATAGCATATTACGACCGTTCGCTACATTAAGGTGTACTTCGAGCAAATGCGATGTCCTCGCGTGTGGTTTCGGTCGTTTATACGACTGCACATGTGCATGTTCTGACTGATTGCCACACCATGGGGCAAATCTCCGGCGACTGCATTGAGATGCACGTCGCGCCGAATGCTTAAACCCGAATAATTAGAGTAGACTGGGGCATGGGCGTCATCTAAACGGTCGACACCCAAGCGAAAATGGATTTGCTTTCAATAATTTTAAATACGATGGTATTAGTGCGGTTGGATAATTATGTGCCGAAGATCTGGACGCGGTAGCGCAATTACCACTAGAGGATAGCGAGGAGCAAATCCACTCGTGTCATGTGTATATTTAGCCCTAGAGGCTGGCGAGGGAAAAAGTTTATACCCAACTGCTGTCATAAATGCCCAGGAGATAACAGAGACATTAAACGCCCCGGTCAATGGCAGATCAAACATAGGCTTTCGACTTGATCCAATCGCATTTATGAAGACACTCCGGCTATCACTTAATAGCGTACGCTCGAACAGGAATTTGCGTGATCTGCTTGCTGGCAAACTCTGGCAGATTTTTATGCTCATCTCGGAAGACGAGTAGCTCACCAATGGAAGAGAGTGTCCTTATTGAGAAGACACGGATTGAGCAACAAACATCCCAATCATGATGATCGCTCAACAAGAATCCTCTCTATGATGAAATGACGTAATAATTTAAGATACGTTCCTAGATACAGTGCCGGGCAAATTACCCAAGGATAAGGTTTCGTCATGAGATCGACCGGAAACCAAACTTAAAGTAGTGTGTCATGAAGCAGTGACCACTATTTTATGAACAAGAACACGCGGTTAGCAAATTATCTGCCGATCGCATTGCAGCGAGCCATGTGAGGGAATCTTCTTTATTACATATCTCTTCGACCTTCTGTGACTGAAAGACCCTTTAGAGGATGGTGAATAGATTATGACTTATATAACTTAAATAATTAAATTGTACCTGATCAAACTCCGATACCAAGGAAGGATGACATTATAGATAGTATGGCGAAGAGTACCATCTTTTCATCGAAGTATTAAATGGATGGATTCTAACAGATGCTTACGCGTGAAAGAATAACCCATACGCTACATTGAGCACCCCAAGCGGTATGATTTGAACATGGCTAATTAGTCCACATGGAATCATTAAGGCCCCTGATACTGTTAAAAGATGCGTTGCAAATCTTTGAGATGTTTCTGAGAGTCGTACCTAATTATTGTAATGACGTGTTCGTCCTAGGCCGGGCTATGGATGGACAGAAGAATGCGAAAGTCCACCGACTCCATGTCCGAAAGGTTCTTACTCTGTTGTGTGAGCACAAGTTGCACATCAACCACAAGAAGTGTATTTTCGCGACTCGTAAAAACATCTTTTTTGCATGCATTTTGGGGAAGCATGGCGTCCGGACCGACCCGGAAAATTTTGAGGAGATCACCGAATGGCCAATACCGATTGCCGCATGAGGCCTTTCAAAATGACTCGATATAGCTGCTTATTTGCGCAAAACAATCGAAAATTTACGACGAAATTAATTTTTAACAATCTCGTTATTAAAAAGAAATCGATGTGGCCATGGAGTGCTGATTGTCAGGGCTCCTTCAAGGATCAAGCAAAGCTTGATTCGCTTGCCAACTTTTAAAATTGCAGACCAAGACGGATTATTTCATGTGGCCTGCAACGCAAGTGACTTTGCCATCTGATGTGCACCGATGCGAACGGTGCTATTCGTGTCGTCCGCTTTCCATCACGTCAATTGCATGCAGCTGGACGTATCTACCTATTACATGATCAGGAAATCTTTGCCATGAAGTATGCTTTGGCGAAATTGAGGTCTACCAGATGGGTGAAATATCCTTCATAGATTACACGGACCATCCATCCTTACGCACGGACTACGACAGTCTACACCTCTCGTTACAAATAACGAGGTGGCTGCTGTTCTCCGTGGTACATAACTTCTTTGTGAATTTTAAGCTAGGATGACTGAATGTCGTCGCTGATGCTATGTCGCATCGGCCCGATTTCCAACCGGCTACGCGGCCCGACACTGATCAAATTGATTTCGCAATGTTAACTTCGAGTGTACAGTAATCAGCCTAATTCAAAGACATACGCATAACAAACGATCCGGCAATGTTGCGTTTAGTAACTATCTATCGCAACCATCACGCCAAATTCTTAAAGAGTTGACCCCAGTATCGATCCTCCACGGATAGAAATAAAACCTCACAATGGCTTACTGAAGTATTAAGTCGTGCTAATCCATGTTTTTCTGTGACTGCGCATCATGTATAAGTACCACGATGCACCTACTGGTCGACATCGTGGTCGAGAGAAGACATGTGTAACATTTGGTCGCGACTTTTACTGGCCCCGATAGTATCAGTTCGTGTGTAAGTACGTCCGGGCATTCGGAGTATGCCAACTAGCGAATCCTGATCCTTCACTTCATGTGCCGTTGCAGCCCTTGCCCGTTGCGGCAGAATTCTGGAAATTTGTCTCATTATCCTTTGTATTTGATTCACCACAGACCCATTTATGCATCGGCATGTGCTCGTGTGATATTGACACGGACTTTTGTATTAATAGGTTGACTAGTGAAATCGTCTTCAATCGAGTCCACATTTCACTGCTTAGTTCTGGCGATCTGTGTACAAAATACTCGAAACGCGCCTTAAGATGCCGACCTCTGACCACCCTGTAACAGATGGTCAGGAGGAATGTGCCAACCGCGTTCTTGAGAATAAGCTTCGAGAAATTTTTAAATTCGTTTACGAATTGGGAAAATTCTTGCCAATGGTTGTATTCGTCATTACCAACTTGGTGCATGCACTGACGACGCATACACCGTCCTACGTGAATAGCTTCCGCCATTCATGCTAACCCACCTCTATTGAGCGTAACTCTAGCTTGAGGGGGAAAGGAATTATTAAAGCGAACGAAATATTTGCTTCACTCATCACGTACTGACCAAAAAGTCAATACGTAACACACCCATGTCGATCACATCCACTTAACTGAAGAACAGGAAAGTGAAAGCGAAGGTGCTTGTACTGATCAGGTCACTGGTCTTGCCGCAGTGTGCTTCAAGCCCTCTTTAGCCAAAGATAACTTGTCAGCAAATAAATTTATACTGGCTCGCAAAACGGGCATCCGTGTCGAGTAAGATTACATTGTGGAAGCGTTAGACCGACAAAAGACAATCGCTGAAAAGAATGGAAGATCAAATGTACTTTTATTTGATAAAGGTGACTAATCCTAGTAGTTTAAGAAAACCTGCTTTGACAAATCATGACTACCGCGGGCATTAACAATTACTACACAAAGTCATCAGGTCCATTCTGTGTGCTGCGCCAATTAGGCAACGCAAAATAGATTGAACTACCACGTAAGAGGTGCAAGCATATAAATTATTACGTCGGTCGCCTTTGGCCGAATCACCAGTACGTTAATTCTTCCAGCGAAGAAATCCCTTGCTCTGAAGCATCTGTAAGAGATTTCATGTGCTCGCGGTGATGACTATTAGCCCGCATGTGAAGCTCAAACATCCCCCCGCAAAGCCGAGAGATTTCCTGAGTTGCTTTCACTGACATTTTAACAAGACAAAACAATGCCTGTTCATTCTCAATCTATGCAAAAGCAAATCTGATTCATCCCTGTTCCGTTCTGAGGAGAGACAGTTCACATTGTCGACCAGACTCAGACGCCTGCTCCTATCTTGCAGGAGTTTTAAGCGCAACTCACACGTTACGCGCTCGGGCTGACTCACAGAGTCTTAAAGGACCTGCAAATCCTTCTGAGATCGGTTTTCTTCTCTGAATATTCCATTTGTTGATGCACGCAGTGAAAATCGCTTCTCAGTAGAAAGCTAGTTGAACTACCCTGATATGAAGGGACGTCGGACGAGTTACATCGTCTAGTGGCGCGGGAGTCCACCCTAGGCAGAAAGTTGCAATTCTCGCTCTCAACCGCTAGTTAATGGCTTGAGTTTTGTCGAGCAGTACGACAGGTGCATCTGATTCTGTAAAAGTTCTTAAGTGGTCTGCTAGCTAATTGAACATGTACAATTTCATTTAATTGTCCACCCAGAACTTCCGCCTTTACGTCCCTTAGTGACCTTCTTGTTGGAACTTGGTGGTATTTGACCAACCGTTGGAATCTCATTCAGCAACCCCTCCTAGCTGTATGGAAATCTATAAGCACAACTTTAGCTGTTCGTTCTGCTCGTTCTTCAGTGTTTCTATGTTCTAATTATGCTGTATTACAGCAACCACATTATCATTGGTGGTACATTTCTTCAAACCCTTCGCCTCATTACTTTTCCAAATATAATGGCTGCCTTCCCGCGCTCTCCGAGTGACTAATTTCTTGTACTCAAGTTAAACGTGCATATTGAGCAAAACACCACGTTGTCGTTCAGCATAATTACCTTTTTCTTCAAAAACTACATTTAGGAAATACCACCAAGATTAGACT